GCCAATATCGAGCATCCCTACTCATTACCCAACTCAAATATGAACTGTTGAAGTAATAACAATAATAACTTTAACTTAAATGTATATGATATATATGATCCAGTTTGTTCCATTGACTAATTTTCTTTGAGTTGACTTTATATCATTACAAAAATGTGAGCCCCAAAATTAATTGGCTACTATTTATTATTATTACTATAAATTGTTGGAGTTCATAAATTTATACTGTTTAAAGCAATTAGTTACCTGAAACGGTTTGAGTTAAATATATAATATATTTGAAACAAATTTTCCTGATAATACTTACAAACTTTTACTTAATTAACATTTTTAATGCAGATTTTTACTTGTAAGAGTATTTTTACAGCCTGGTATTTGTACTTTTACTCACGAGAGGGATATGAATACTTTCTGCACCACTGTTCATTCCTATTCAAATGAGGGTCATGTGTTGCTGCTGGAAGGATGATCCGAAACTGACTGCAGAATATGGTTTTAATAAATTGATACTACACTTAATGTTATTGGGGGTTTAAAATTAGATCTCATTTGATAATCTGCTTGTAATGTATCACAGATATCCCTCAACGGATCACTTAAGATTCGCTGGATGGAGTCAAGTATACAAGTTTGACACTGGGAGACACAATGTTTTTACATAACAAGAGTGTCACACAGTCCACCTGACAACACAGGTGAGACACGGGAAAGACAGGCGGGGTTCGGCAGCAGAGAGGCTGAGAGACAGACAGGTAGTTGTGACAGTGAATTTGTTCCGGCTGGGGGTGGGCTACCTTGGGGTGGCAGAAGAATGTCATAGTCAGAGGGTGTCTTGTTGGTGTTGAAGGGGCAATGTCCACCTAAGGAACACAAGCAGAATTCAACATATTGCAGCCTGAGCTATGCACAGCCACTCCGACAGGGCGTGGCATATTTTAAAGAATTTGGCCATTCGCTTGAAATAGTTGATTGTTATGCACTTGCACCTGATTGAAATATTTGTATAAGGTTTAATATCCTTAAATATCCTTTTTTTTTGGTATCAAGAAAATCTTCTTCAACAAGAAACTGCTAAAGCTGCAGTAAGTCATTTTTATATAAATTATTTTTTGTCATATTTTCTGAAACTTTCACAATATCCCGACAGTAGTACATGAGAGATAATCTGTGAAAAAATCAAGTTCCTCTGGCTCCTCCTGGTCTTAATGGCATTTGCAAGAATCCACCGGACCTGAAAGAAAGCAACCAATCAGAGCCAAGAAAGATAGTTGATTGTTGAGTCTCATTCCCATGTTGTCAAATACAGATGCTTTGGGACACTGGGAATGAGACTCAACAATCAACTATTTTCGAACCTTAAACTCAAAGCGTCATTATATCTTACTCTGCTCTGATTGGTTGTTTTCATCCAGGCTCTGTGGATTCTTGCATATGCCATTTGTCAGGATATATTTTCAGCAAATATGACAGAAAGTTATTTTTATAAAAGTTACCTACTGCAGATTTATAGTGTAAAGGAAACAAATGAGATTACCTGGCGCCTCTTTTTTATTTCAAGACTCAATATTGGATTAAATGAGGTGCTGAAATGTGTTCATACAGTTTCTACTGATAATCTTTGGGCATTGTAATTACCCTGCTTATCACACTACATCAGATGAAGTCAACTAGGGCTGCACAATTAATCTAAACATTATCAAAATCACAATACAACCAAGTGCAATATGCAAATCACAGAAGCTGCAGTTTTTTAGGTTAAATGTGTGACAGCAGTATAATAAAGTACTGTAGTGCTCTGGCCTACAAATCTTTGGTACAGACCCAAAGAAATGTCACATCATCATGATTTTAATGGTTTCTTTCAGTGAAAATGAACACTGTGATGCAAAAATACTCATTCCAACTAATCCTGAATCACACTGAAATAGTAATATTTGTCAAAATACTTTGCATCAAAATTGTGCAGCCCTGAAGTCAAGAATGTCATGGTAATAGGGATAAAGATAATGTATAATTCTACTGGTTTTAGGACTCACCAGGCTCGGGGGGCTGGGGCTTCTTCTCCTCACTGGAAGGCTCTGGAGAGCCGTTCTCCAAGTGTCTAAATGAGAGAGGAAATCTTTTTGCAGCTTAATTAAACTCTAATGGAACCATCATTGCTGTATCCCCACAGGAACTTTAATACATTGAGAAAGGGCGAGTACCTGCTGGGTACAGAAATGCAGATGGGAGGCTGGCTCAGGCAGAGGTTGGATGAAGGGATCTGATAGTCATCCTCCATCCTCTCCATCCCTCCCCGCTGTCGTTCTACCACGGGACTGCTGAAAGGGTTGGAGGGTCTGTAAAGATGACCGTGATATGTCAACCCAACCAATACATCAGTGTCACTTATTCAATTATTGCATTCAAACTGCATCCGCTAATAGCCTGTGGACTGACATATTTTACAATCTCTTACCAAGTTGTTGGAAAAAGCAGCTGAGCAACACCCTCACCTATGACATTACTGCTGATGTACCCTTCAGTAAAATAGTGAGCCATTAGGAAGTAGCCTGCCAGCAGCTGTATGTGTGAAACAACTGTGATTAAAGCTGCAGTAGGTCATTTTTATAAAAGTGAAAATGCCATTAGGAGCCAGAGGAAACTGATTTTTTTTCACAGATTATTTGTCTCATGTACTACTGTCAGGAAGTTTCAGCAAATATGGCAAAGAGTTATTTTTTTAAAAAGTTAACAACTGCGTCTTTAATCTGCGAGTCCGTTGGAAAGTAGGAGATCTCAGTGCATTATTGGCCTCATGGTAGAAACCTCCTGAACAATGAACACTGAAGGAATCCTAACTGGGAGAAGCTGACTGAAATGGCGGTGAAGACAACTCCCATGATCCCACGCTACTTGTTTTGATATTAGAGACCCCCCTAGTGGTGGAAATTCATATTTAACATTTAACAGTAATTGGGTTCTTTTCTGAATGGATAAAGGTCTCCATACTGTGTTTACCTACTGTATGTTACAGTGCAATGTTATAGTGCAGCAAAGTACACTAACTGCTGTGTCTTTTGTAATAAATGATTAAACAAGGAAACATTATTATATATACAGTAATAAAAACATGTGTGACTGAGTGATCCTGTGACCATCATGTGCAAGTCATTTGTGTTCAGGAAGTGTGTGTTTACATCACTCTTAACCTCACAATATTTTACAGCACTTAGTTGTTTTCAGGAGAAGCAGAGCTTCCGCTTCGGCTCAAGCTTCATCAGAAGTGACAGTTCTATCCCCCTGCCTCCACTACAGCCCGATACACAGAAATACCTAATCTAATTCGGGCTGCAGCTAAAAGGCTATTAGACGTTCAGCCATCATTTTTTAAAGCTGTTCATAACCAGGACTTCTCCCTGAGGCTACTAGACCTCAGTGGTAGAAGTCTGAAACCACAGGGAAAAGAAGGGAGGCGTTTCGGGAGATGGACTAAATGAGAGAGGAATGGTTGCTTGATCAGGGGTAAATACAAATATTAACTGACTAGTGTTAAACTATATGATTCTGATTCTGAAGTTAATATTTGTATAAAAGGCAGCTGCAATTTCTTCCAATCTGAGAAGCAAAATCAGTCGTCCCTGAGCCAGCAAACAGGAGCCTCTCTCTGCCACAGAGGAAGGAAATTCCATGTCCCTAGCTTGGTTTGGCTCTCTACCTCAAACTAGTGTCTGCATAGATACTGGCTTCAATTATATTTTATTCCTTACTGACGACTCCTTCTACTGGCACTTCCATGAAGTTCATGGAAGGGAGGTTGCCCGGTATGGTTCTTTGGGGGATATTTGCTGCCGCTCTACTTGTCTTAAGCCTTTCCATGTATGCACATGGAAGGGCAGGGAGGTTTGCTCTCCCTGCCTTAAGGTTTTCCATGTAGGCACGTGGAAAGGCAAGGAGGTCCCAGAATAGAGCCATACCGCCAAATATAACATTCTGCATTTGGGAAAAGTTTCTTTTGACAAAAGTGGTCCTCACTGAACTATCTTTCTTGGCTCTGATTAGTTGTTTTCATTCGGACGGGAACCGATTCTTGCAAATACCCATTAGGAAGCACTAGGAGGACCCAGAGGAACCTGATGTTTTCACAGATTATCTGTCTCGTGTACTACTGTCAGGATATAGTGAAAGTTTCAGCAAATGTGACATAAAATATTTATATAAAAATTACCTACTTGCAGCTTTAAGACTGCAGACCACACAGCTACACACTGCTGCAGCCAGATAACCTTGCACAGTCTAATACAGGAAATTAGATATAGCTGAGTCTTGGCATGCACGATCCATTGATCAAACAGGCTTTTGTCCAGCATTCAATCACCTTTATATGATTAACATAGACTTTCATTCTGATGCAAAGTTTTTAAATACAGCCTTAGAGGAAAATCACTGGTCACAGTAATGCACCGCTACATTTGTATATTTCCACACACTGTAATCTTATCTACCCATATTAACACAATGGTGCTGTATATAGATATCATTTCAATATTGCCCCAGCATATTTCCAAGGAAACTTGGTTTATATCTTGCTGGATGAATAGTCCCATTATGTGTGTGTACATGTAATACTCACTTGTGGCTACTGGCAAGTGTGGACTGTGTTGGTGAGTGCCGGGAAGGAAGGATGTCATACTCATCGCTCATTTGCACACCATTACAGAAGGGCTGCACAGACACACACAAGAGAAGGACAGAGAATTATTTAATAAAAACACAAAGAGCAACCGAAAAGGTCACAACCAGTTGAATCTGACAAACTGAAATAAGCTTAAATACATTATATTATGCATCAGACATGTTGTGTTCCTCTTGGATTTTGGTGTAGGAGGATGGTAGTGCAGCCCTTATCAAGCACCATATTGAAGGCATATACAGCAACTGTAGCTTCGAAGCAACTCACTAAAAAGTAGGTGTGTGTTTAAGGATACAAACCAGTATATATTTGCAAATAACTGAAAAATTTGACTGTGTACTGAATCAATACACGATGTGATTTGTCCTGTATTTTCATGCATATACTATGCTTTCCATTCTTGGAATGAGATAAGTCATCATGATCAGTTTCACAGTAAAAAGTAGTTATTATACTATATTATATAATTGATGTAACAGTGCTTTACTCTATCAATTCTTTATTTCCATTATGTCTATGTAAACTAAACATCAAGGACACATAAAATAAATCTTTCCCAAAGATGGTTTCAGTCCTTTTAGGTAGTTTCTTATCACGCTGCTGTATGTTCAGGTGTATGGGCAGGACTTCAACACTGCAGCTCCAACCCCAATCACTAACCCTGAATTATGTCACCAGCGCAAAATGGCAGCAGCTGTATGCAGGATATTTTGGCTT